GGCATCATCATAGCTCACTGCAACCTCAAATTCCTGAGCTCAAGCAGGTCTCCCAAAGTGCTAGGATTACAGGTGTGAGCCATTGCACCCAGCCAAGGAAACTTCTTTTTAAAAATGAAGTAAAAAGAGTGGACTCACCTACGGAGCCCTACGCGCTCATTAGAAGCAAGGACGCACTGTTCGAACAGCAACATGGATGATCTTTAAAACACAGTGCCGAGTGGGAAAATGAGGGTCAGCTCTATAATAATACCATGCCAGTTACATAAATTAAACATACTTGCAGGCAAAGCTACAATGCATGTCTTACGGGAACCACCTCGAAAAAGTAATTTTTAAAAAGCAACAATGACAAGATAAGAATCATACACACCAAAGGACACATATTAAACTCATTAGGATGGCGGCCACTGGGGAGCTAGACGGAAGTAAAGAAAGATGATTAAAGGAAACAAATACATAAACAAACACACAAGAGAGGGGTCTTTGCAGGGACCAATGAGGACAGGGTGCCAGGAACTGAGCATGGGAATAATTCACCCTCTCCCACTAAGATCCAACTAGAAAAACAATTACCAAATGATACACATAAGCCAACCCGGCTGAATCAAAATTAAGAAGACAAACTCATGCTCTAAAATTGAAAGTGTGAAAACTATAGTCGTGGGCCAAATGTGAACCTCTGCCTGTTTTTGGACAGCCTGCAGGCTAAGAATGATTTTGACATTTTTTAAGTAGGTAGTGGGGTGGGGAAGTTGAAAGAAGAATAATATTTTGCGACACATGAAAATGACATGAAATTCAAATTTTAGTGTCCATAGCGCTTGCCTAGAACATAGCCACGCTCATGCACGTACATTCTGTCCCTGCCTGTTTTCTCTCTACAACAGCAGGATTGAGTCATTGCGACAGAGATGCTATAGCCTACGAAATCCAGAATGTTTACTGTCTGGCCTTTTACAGAGAAAGGTTGCCAATCCCCTTTACGAAAGAACCAGCTGCAAGCCGGGAATCAGCTCTATCATGCTGCCAGGTGGTTCTATGCCGGGAGCAAGGCTTGGGCAGCGATGCCTTTCCATACCCAGCAAGAGCGCCGCCTCCTCCAGGCGGCCGGGGCAGGCCCAGCCCACATGGCAGCCAAGGCTCTCCCATCGCCCCCGCAGCACGTGTACTGATGACAGCAAAGCCCAGTCTGTGCCCACGGATTTCAGAACAAAAGTCCTTTATTCCCCCACAAAAGCAGTGTTACAAAGAGCTGTATAACAGCCATTTTCCTTAGCAAGCAAATTGAGGAGCAATTTCTGGCCTCTGAAATTCATATTGGAAAAACCAGCCAAACAACCATCAGTAAGGACCAGTTAAGCAAATTATCCTACCTCCGCACGGACGTACAGATGTTGCAGAGAGCAGGGTGAATTCACATGAGCAGACATGGAAATACGCATTGAGAAAAGCAAGTTGAAAGACATTATTATTCCATTTTTGCTTAAAATACATTTTTATACATTTATAAGTAAAATGTATCACACACTATATGAGCCGAGGGCGAGGAAAACACATCAAGCTGTTGTATGTTACGTACAGTGGGCAGTTAGGATTCAGGGAATTTTACATTTTGTTGAATTATTTTATTGTTTGCATTTTTCACTGATAGGGTATTACTTTGGTGATAAAAATTTTTAAAGATTTTTAAACGGAAAAAATCTCTCATGTTGATGAACTTGCAATTTTTTACTTGGAAAATGTAGATATATCTGTTGTCAAAATGCCATGAAACCGTCTCAATTTGGGGTATTAATTTTCTTTTTAATTATTTTCTAGTTTTCCAAAATGTTTAAATAAGCATGTGTTCATTTTAGAATCAGAAATAAAACTCAGACTCAACAAAGTCAGGGTGTTCGACTTTGGGTAACCCATACAATCACTATCATGTAAAACAAAACGCACAAGCAAAAAGACTAGAAAGATATATGTATACCAACATCCTAACGGACATTCCCTCCGGGTGCTGGGTAAGGGTGATTTTGGGGATTACTTTCGCTTCCTTCTATTTTTCCGTATTTTCCAGCTTTTCTGCAATGAGCATTTTCAAGTTTATAGCATGTGTCAAGTTCAACATTTCATGATGAAAAATTTTCAAACAGGATGGGCACGGTGGTTCACACCTGTCATTAGTACTAGGGCACTCTGGGAGGTCAAGGTGGGAGGATCGCTTGAGCTCAGGAGTTTGAGATCAGCCTGAGGAAAAGCGAGACCCCGTCTCTACTAAAAATAGAAAAAATTAGCCAGGCAACTAAAAATAGAAAAAAAAGTTAGCCGGGCATTGTGGTGCACGCCTGTAGTCCCAGCTACTCAGGAGGCTGAGGCAGGAGGATCTCTTGAGTCCAGGAGTTTGAGGTTGCTGTGAGCTAGGCTGACGCCGCAGCAGTCTAGCCTGGGCAGCAGAGCAAGACTGTGTCTCAAAAAATGAAA